GCCCTATAGGAGAGGGTGGGTATGTAGGAAATGCAACCCCTGTACACAAAAGATACACACACAGAGGCACAAAAACAGATTTTCCTTCTCAATGCAAATTGGAATTCTGTTTCAGGCAGATTGAAACAATAAAAGGGGTTTTGGAAAAATGTTACGCATACGCTATGTGTGCCGCCCCCACCTGCCCCCTCAGAGAGTAACCATTTCCTACCCCCGCTGCCAACATCACACCGCTCCGACCGACCACCACTCGACCGCCACTGACACGAAAAATGAGAACAGTTTTGCTGCTGCTGTTCGGCGCATGTTTTAATTACGGACACTCGCAGTCGACGTTCGGTTCAAGGCGCCGCTGTAACAGTACACACACAAAATAAGGGTCTCTTTCTGGATTATCTAATACACACACACACACACACGCTCGCGTGCACCCAACGAGCGGATACAGCACAGGGCACATGAATATGCACATGCAAATGCATTACATATTGGGTTTTAAATAGCCAACCAGAGAGATGGAGAGAGTGACAGTGTGAAAAAATAACAGTTTTCTGCCCCGTTTTTTGTTGTTGTTTGTTTGTGTGTGTTTTAGAACTGTTTACCGTTCACCCCGTCCCTCTTCTTCTTTTCGACGACGTCGTCGTTGTTGTTGTTCACTCCTCAGAGATGGAAAAATTGGATTTTGCGTGAAAAACTTATTGCTTACTGCGACTGTCTGCACCGACACTTTTCCGCTGAGCTGCGCGCTGAACAGAAAAGAACAGAACACACAACACCAACACACACGTACGGTCTGCCTTGCGCGAAAACCGAATATAGAGGAAAATCGAAAATTCTTCACGTCTGCGTCGCGCTCACACACACATACTGTTGTACAGGCATATAGGTGGAATCGGCAGGAGTGGAGTGCAATGGATGTTCAGGGTATACGCACCTGCGTGTGTCTAACTGATGAGGATGTTGCCTCCTCCTTCCTGGCCTTGGGACTGCTGCTGCTCAACGGTATTCTCCTGTAGGAACAGTTTGGACACTCTCGTACAATCACACACACACATCTATACATATAAATACACACGCGCCGCCGCCGCCAAAACGCTGCTACTGCCGCTGCGACGTTGTTGTGTTTGCTTTGCCCCTGCGTCGTCGCTCGCGTTTTTTGGACCCTGCATTTATTTATTATCACACTGCACATGCGAATATTCGCTGCATTTTACATTTGCGCACTGCCACGCTTGCCACAATGCCACTTGCGTTTTATTGTTGTTGCGCCCCAGCTTGCGTTTTGTTGTTGTTGCTCCCCAGCTTGCAGCACAGTGTGACCGCGGACTTAGCGATAACATATACCGCCCATCCCTCATACATATACCGACTTACACCTTCAGACTTGCAAAATATACCGCAAATATACAGTAAGAACTTAAGTAATTATCCCCGCTACATTTAAATAATTTATCGATATACATTTTTTGTTGATTAGTATTCCTAGGCGATAGTTTCTTGTCCTGGCGAACACATGAATGTACTTCTTTTTCGTTATATGAACCTGAATTTTAAGCGAGTCAACACAACATTTTTGAACAAGGGTAGTTGCATTACAGCAAACGGGTATTTTAGTGCGATAGGAGGAACCTATCGGCTTTTTATATGGAGAGCATATGAACAGCCGAGCGTTCTTTATTTGAAACCAAACTAGTTCAAAATAAAATGTTACAATTATAGATGCCTTACAATGTTTTCGAAACATCTAAAAACCGGCGTATAGCTCAGCGTGATCAGAGGTACAAACATCGATAGCGCAGGTGGTGGTCACCAAACGATATATCTGGGACAATGAACTACACCTTCGGCGTGCCGTTTAATGAACGGAACTACAAATTCAGTTGTAAAAACAAAAATTAACGAAAAAAATAAATAAATAAATATTGAAATGATTCAACCATTTCTTAGCTAAACAAATGTGTTCGACAATCGCACGACACGTCTGCGATAGCTGTTATCCTCATCGATTGGTGGCGGCATCCATCCCTGCTGCGCGGATAATTCAAATTAGAAATTGTTTGCGAAATGTGTTTAATTACGTTTCGGATATTATGTGAAACATTTTTCTATTGATTTCAGTTGGCCTGCAAACACACGTAAGCCCTTCAAAAGGCAGCTAGCAATATTGAAAAGAAATCAGCTAGACCAGCCATATGAGAGACTCACATACAATTTGTTTCACTCTTTTGGCGGGGGATTCACAGAACTTCATCACCAAAAACAACAACAACAACAGCAGCAACAAAAAAAAACAACAACGAGTTCAACTTTGGATTAATTGGCTTGAGTAATTTTTGATTTGGAGGCGACCGAGCGAAGGCGACGACTAAGTGCGACTGACTGTTGTCCGTTTGGCAGCCGCCTTTTAAGGCCCTGCGCGCTTCAGAGGCGCGTCATGCACACCAACCCACACCCACACCCACACCCTTGCCGCATGCCACAGCACACATTAGGATATGTATGTCCGATAAACGCTATTCTCCGAACGGACTTCACTGATTGCCCGCATGCAAAAAACAAAAAAATAAAATAAAATAAAATAATATAAAATAAGAAAAAGTAATGAGAACGAGAAAGAAAATGAAAACATTAAGAAAACTACTCGATACAAAAGAGGAGCTAAGGAACACGGCTTGTGATTTTCTTATCGCACGGAACTCCCCCACATTGGGCAGGGAATGACCAGACTAGTACGGGTCTCTGGTCTGTGGTCTTGGGTCTCTGGTCTCTGGTCTTCTGACATTTTGTTACTTATCGTGGTCTTCGGCCGCCGCTTATCACCGGAACTGAGAGATGGTGCTGCTCCCGCCGCCGCCGCCGCCGCCGCCACCGTCGCTTATCGTACACGGCTTGGGCCCTACTCGAAATCTTTTGCTTGACATGTGGCCGCTCTCGGTTCGTCGTAATCCCATCACCAGATGTGCGCTCGTCTTGTGGCTGGCAATGATCTTGAATATTTGCTGAACTTAGCTCGCAAAGCAGTCGCAGAACAGTCGAAGTGGGTCAACCGGGCCCTGCCTGATCATGGCCACACTCCACTCCAGACAATCCCTAGTCACGGTCAGGCCTTCTTTTGGTACACACACACACACACACACACACACACACACACACTCCTGGGCGCTCCAGAATGGAGCTGTTCGCCGCTAAGCACACGCCAATGTTCAAGGTCTGAGCCACCCCCCCACTGGGTCGCCTGTGTTGGAAGTGCTCAAGGTCACTCACGTGTTGTGCACGTACAACTTTAATGGATGAATCGGTACACATACCTACGTATCCTGTATGTACATAAACTCACATAAATGTGTACAATGATACAATAATATTTACAATGTGAACATCCTGTTCAAGCCGATTTCCTTTGTGGCTGCGTAACCGCGCAGAAATTTCTTAGAGCTCGCTTGGGCTGGGGCTTGTCTTTTGTTTTTGGATTTGGACTTGCAATGGGATGAATGCAATTTAATTTCAATTTTAATTCCCATTTCCACTTTCATTTGCCGTGGAGCGGCAGAAAACGCGAAACTTTCCATGGATTATGCGGCTGCATTTTTATTTGAGTTGTGGCGTCGGTCCGTGTTTTTGACGTCTGTTACGGTTACTGTTTGTGGCGCGCCAGCGTTGCACGTTGAAATGCCCGTGTGGCACTGTGACAATGTGGCACTGGCAGGCAGGCAGCTCTGCTGTCAACTGCCGGCGACCCAACGACGGAGCCACCAATAGACCCACCAGCCCACCAGCCCACCAACCCAGCGACCAACATTGAGCAGGACACCGCCACAGCCAAAGGCATGGGGCACATGGCAGGTCACAGCAGTCGATGCCGTAGTATTTGACGTGTACGAGGCAGTAGTACTACGATTCGCACACACAGCTACAGTTGCACAGCTGCACGGGGCAGGCAGGCACGGATGGCTGGAGGAGGCACGTGTACGTACACACCGACAAACGGACACACCAGCATGCGGCCCATACGCAACGTGACCCCATCTGCGCCTGCGTCTGTTTTGATATGAAAAGACATTGTCCTCTTTGGCCTCGCTTCATTTTTCTCGAGCTGCAAACAGTTGAGCTACGTGGCAACAAAAATCAAGAGTACGTGTCCTGGATGATCAGACATGTGCAGAAAGTGCTTCGGTTGCAGAATTTATCTGGTGATGTCTTGACTTTTCATTTCACTATGGTTCGTCATTGCTCTCCTTACACAACCCTAGAAAAGGTAACTCAACTCCGATCATTCGTAGTTCCCACACGTTGAAGATTTTGTAGTTTTCCCATCAATTGAAAGTGCCACCACATTCCAGTTTATCAATATTTATTCTTCTGTTACATAATCTCTTCAATCTTTTCTTTGACATCTTTGATTGACTCGCAATGCAGAGTATTTCCAGAGTCCTTCTTGCTGGATGGTAGTTGGCGTAACCTTCAGCTCGTGCGTCCTCCTTCGCCTCCTGCACGTTTCCGCACATTTGTTTGGCCTTGGACTCTGGTTTGTTATTGCCGCTTTCACACACACACACACACACACACACACACACACACACACACACACACACACACACTCTAGCAGTATTGCCTGGTTTACCGTTATGTTTGGCAGACACTATCGATTATTCATGGCGATTTGCCACACCCACAGCCTCGAATTCGCGAAGGCTCGTCCCTCGATGCTCCTAGATGCTGCTATCAAATCAGCTTGTCCAACGGTTCTGGCTAAGCTTAAAGCTAAAAGCTGAAAGCACAGGACGAAAGCTAGCGGTAAATGGAACATCTGGAAAAGGAGCTTTCCGGAAAGCATCGAAAGCCGGAAGGGGAAAAGTCGGCAAAGGAAAAGGAACAGGAAAAGGAAAAGCGATAATTTAAGCACAAAAAAATGTCATCTCCCGTTGGGTTTATTTGCGGCTCGTCTCTCCGTTTATTAATTACATTTATATTTAATTTTTATTCATACTGTATATGCTGTATGTATGTATATAGTTAATGCATATGTATTGCCGTTGGCATATGTATAATATATTTAGATTATAGATATCCAGCTGCAGGTTCTGGTCAAAATGGGAACGCGTCTAGGAACCAAACAAATCCAACAGCTCACCACGCACAAACTCGTTTCGTGATGCCGATAGAAAGTCAAGGCGAAAGTTCTAGGCCATCATCATCGATACGAGTATTCAAGAATGTATGAATTCATATTTTTTGTGTATAGAGTTTGTCCCCGAAGTGTGCTAAGAGGAAAATTAGGGACCAGGACCGAGCCTTAGCGCTGGGAGAAAGTGTGAATAATGGGACCATCAACTGCCCAGCCACAACCTTAAGCTCTTTGACGGCAAGGCAAGAAGTACGTTCCGTTTGGTCTCTGGTCTCTGGTCACTTTTCGCTGTCGCCCCTGTTCCACAGCTTCCATTTGGGGGTCTGCTAACATCTTAGTCAATTCTACGTGGCTTTGCTTTCACTTAGATTTAACGCACGCACTGCATCCGCGTCCGATATCTCCTTCCAGCTTGCAGCACCGTCCGCGGTGCGCACTGCCCCCCCCCAACTAAATCGATCGTAATAACCGATACCATAATAATAATAGATCGTTCGTTTTGCCCGCTACTCAAGTAAAGGGGTTTTTCGGATTCGGTTTGCTGGCTTATACACTTGCAAAGAACTTTTGAATCTCAAATGCTGTAGCTATTGGATGGGTGATATGACAATGGAGCAAGATCTTTGGAAAAGTTTCATTCAATTTAATGTGCAGGCGCAATATTTCTGATGGGCTTTGCAAGTGTATAGCCATGGACTTTGGAAACATACATATGGGATGCTCTTTCTACATTGATATTGTACGATTTGTTAGAGTTACAAAAAATGACATAAATTCTTTAAGGTTTGCATTTCGTTAAGCAACACACATCGATATCAATATAAGTTTAAGTTTAAGTTTAAGTTTAAGTTTTAGTTTAAGTTTTACTCTTTTAGGTATGTCAGTAGAGGTTCGCTTTTTGTTTTGTTTGTTTCTTTGTATGGGTTTAGTATGTATGTACTAACATTTAGGAATTTGTTCTATTCTCTCATAATATAAATATAACTCTCTCTGTATTTGCGGTATTTATCCCAATACTTTGGGTCGCTTGACTCTCGCTAGAAATATGATAAATGTATGTAAGTGTGTGATGGTGTTGGTATTTGATGTATGTATGTATAAATGTATGGAATTTATAGCTTCGTTTCACTTTGGCCCGTCCGCTCGTTCGTACATTCTGAACCATTCTTAACTTGCTTCGCCTAATATATTATCTGACATCCTTTAACATCTCCATAAACATATGTGTGTATTTATCTATATATATCTATAGATAGATCTCTCTCTATTCATTAATCATTATTCATTATTCAGTTGTATTTGCTTTTGGTGTCTTTGGTGTTTTCATTGCGTTTTCAATCTTAACCTTTGTTTTCCTAATACTCCATTCTCCTCCCCTCAACCTTCATCCGTCCTTCAATTCGACGCCTACTTGTGGCACTATCTATGCGCTCGCCGGGCTCGCACACAATTAGCCAACACTACTAGCTACTAGCTACTAGCTCTAACGGTAAACAACAACACAAATTACTACTCGCACTCACACAATGCTGTCGATCGAATCGATCAGTGGCATTCATCGTTACCCTACACTTTCCAAAACAAACAAAAGACATCTTAACTATGCATTTGCTTTCGGTTCCCTTTTCTGGTACTCTTACTGTTACTGTTCCTGTTCCTGTTCCTGTTTCTGCAGAGCAGCTTCTCCCATTTGCCAACACTGGCCAAGAGAAACCCACCCAGAGATCGATCGACCTATTGTCTACAAAAATACGCTTTCGCTGTGTTAGGTACATGGAATGGGGCTCCATTGGGACCCCAAATAGAGAGAAAGAGAGAGAGAGAGAGAGAGAGAGATAGAGTGAGAGCACGACCACGAGCACTGCTTGCTGCATGGGTAATCTATACACACGGATAATACGCATATGTATTGTTGTATTTTTAGCATGTTGTTTATATATATGTATATGTATATGTATATGTGGGTAGAGCATATAGCAGCTCCAGCATCATGTGGAAAAGTGAAGAAGCTGCAACTAGACACACACACGCACACGGCTAAAAGGTACACAGAGCCAGACACACGCACACATATAAAAAAGACGATAAGTTTTGCCTTTGTTGCTTTTGATTTTTGTTGTTGTTCTGCTTTCGATCTGCTTCCTCGATCCATCATACATGATGGGCCAACAATCGGCTATTTGTTGTTTGCCGCTTGTGAATAAGTTAATTCCATGGTGTAACATTTGGGACTAACCTTGGGCGTTTAGTGTTTGTTTTTTGCTCTACAACATTCATTGACTACGGGTAAGTATATTTGTATGCATGCATTACGCGCTGAGAGTGGGGAAACCAGGGGCAAAAGTTGCCACCAAAATCCGTGACTGGCACTAGCAGTAGGTACTACGTAATTGGAGCGATAATAGCAAGAGAGCAATAGATGGCAAGGTACGTTTGAGTCGAGGCTACGTTGTATTGTATTGTATGTGTTCAATCATTAGGTTCAATCATCAGAGGTTGTGGCTGATCCAAATCGAACCCAACTGTCTGTCTGAGTATGAATCTGAGTCCGAGTCTGAGTTTGAGTTTGAGTGTATTATTTTGGAGAAATATTGAAAACCGTTTGTAGGAGACCGTTTAGTTTAGCTTCAGTTGGTACATATATAATTGCATTCTTTGTTGGACTTTGCCTTCGTTCAATGCCGCTCGTTGGTGCACCGCTTAAGAGATGGTGCAGGAGTTGCGCTTGGCGCCCATGCTTCGCTCCTGGATGCGCTGCAGGTGCTGCAGCTGGGCCGGCGTTGGGGCATGCGAGCCGTGGCCACCAGCGGCGGCTGCAGCCGCTGCCGCCGAGGTGGAGGCCGATCCGGAGGCTGACCCCCCAGCGGCACCGCCCTGGTGGTGGCCATGATGGCCATGGTGGCCATGATGGTGCAGCGGTGTGCCCGGCCCATTGTTGCCGATCTGCTGGGGCAGCGACTGGCGACGACGGCGCAGTGCCGGACTCAGGTTGTAGGTGATCTTGGCCTGGGTCAGCAGCTCCTTGAATACCTGTGGATTGGAAGGGAATATCATCGGATTGGATTGTCTTTAATTGGATGTATGTATTTTCGGATGGAGTGTGGACTCACCTGCGTGACGTTCTCGTTGCTGGCGGCCGAGGCCTCGACGAATCCGTTCTCCCAATCGACTGTCACCACCGACTCTGTGGTGGCGTACTCCACCTGGAAAGAGATGAGAACTCTTAGACTCAGGGCTTCACTGGCAATTGGAACAACTCTTCTGCACCACTCACTTCTGGCCCCCCCCTCATTGGGCACGTGGACGCGTTAACTGTACGATTCCCCCAACCGAAAATCGCAGACAATGAACCCGGAACTTTATTATTTCTTATCGGCATCGAAATCCTTAAAGACGTCTAAATTGGGACGATAAAAAAGTAGAATAAACGCAAGCAGGACAGAAGGAAGGAGAGGGAAAACACACACACAAAAAACAAGAAATTTTGCCAACTTTGTTGGGGAAAGCCGGACCGAAGCCGAGTCGAGGATTTCGAGGCCCCCGTGTGCGGGGGCCCAATTCTTCCGAATGAACAGCCTCGGAAAACGAGTGCAGAATCGAAGGAATAAGTTGCCCACGGCCCCCAAACAAGGTTTCTGTACTCACACACACACAAAAAAACTAAATAATAATAAAAAAAAATACGACAACAAAAAAAAAGGACCCCAAAAGCCACCAACAAAAAGTTGATTTCACTTCGTTGGAAAACAACCAACAAAAAAACAGATGAGAAGAAAGAGAACGCACAGCGAATGAGAATAAGAAGTAGGATAAGAAAAAGAAAAGTAAGAGGGGATGATGAGACGGTGGGTGGGTGTGGGGTGCACTGGAGGGGCATGGGCTAGGGCGCGACAGTCTGGCGTTTGCTGAAATTTGCATTTTTATTATATCAGAAGTCGCTTAAAGTCAATACACCGCACCGCCAAGGGGCGGACGGGCGGATAGAGGACAAGACCATTAGAGTGCCGTGCAAGCAAGCAGTGGATATACCTCATAGGGCTTAGTGGCGAGCAGTTTACAACTGAAAGCAGTCGTTAGAGCCGCAATTACAGCAGACACTCCGCTAGGTGCAGCGAGCAGATTGAGACACACAGAAGTTGCAAGCAGAGCTAACTGTATAAAGCAGTGCAGAGGGGATCTGGCGTAGCAAGCAGTTCAGTGTACCCCTTTGAGGGGAAGGCAAGCAGTTCAGTGACCCCGTTTAAGGGGGAAGCAAGCAGTGTTCAGCAGGTTTAAAGAGATCAAACAAGCAGTTTATCCAGGTGTCGGTAAATCGTCCGCAACAAGCAGTGCAATGGAATAGAAGGAGGAGAAAGCAGACAACAAGAAGCACCAAATAAGTGACAAATAAAAAAAAACAAGCTACTGCATAAAAGGGAAGAGAAAGGGAAACATATAAAACGAAACGAAAGGACGCAACTCGATGGCGAAGGCAAGGCACGCGAAAGATAAATAAAAGAATATTCAAATTTATAAAGCCCCAAATGAAGTTGACCAAACGAAAGTCAACAAAATAAGTGGAAAGTGAAAACGGATTCAAATGACAATAAAAAGGTTGCCGGAGAAGGAAAGTCGCAGAATTTAAGCATTAAGCAAATGATCGCTATTTTAACATGGAGTTTCTGGGGATTCTCTTCAGGGGATGGTCAGAGTCGTAAAAATAATATTCCTTGGGCATATGGAAGTGTGTTTTTCCATTTAATCCTTTACCGAAACTGAAACGATTGCCTTTGATATGTGGCGGCTGGTTGTAGCCAACATGTTGCATAAATTAGGCACCGAACATTTTTACATTTCGCTTGACACTCGCCTGAGACCCGAATTCGCCCCAGCTACAGTACAAATTGGCTCAGTTTTCCCCTCTCCACTCTCCATTTTTTCGCTTCCCGTTTCACTTTCAAGTTTGACAATCAAAGTGGAATTTTCCGGGACAGTTCTCCCCCTCACCGTTTACATCCCCATCCCCTCTGCGTGTGTGTGTTTTTTCTCTTAGTTTTCGTGCCTGAATTTATTAGAAACACTTTGGTCGTGGGCCCCGGGGCTAGGTCTGAGTCGCCTCCATATTTGTGGCCAGAACTTATGCAGAACCCAAATGCCCAGCTGTGGCCTCAGACCCAGACCCAGACCCAGTCCCAGTCCCAGTCTCAGTCCATGCCAAACGATGATCGTTTAAGATATGCAAAGTACTCCCTCCCGCTCCCGAGTCGTGGACGCAGTTTCAGTTATTATTATTATAACATTTAGGGGTATTTGACTCGAGATTATTTCATTGCTGATTGCATTTAACTCTGCGCATAGTATGTACATATTCTTATGTATATGGAACGCTTCTTGCGATGCTGACTTATATGTAGCACAGTAAGTAGGAAGTGGCTCTGCTGGAACTCTTATCTGAGAGTTTCCTTATCCACGTTCAATTATTGAATTTTAACGCCTGCAACCGCTTCGATGTGTGGCTCATCTGTTAGTAATAATTACAGCTTTAAAGAGAGCTAATTTAAAGCAAATTTCGACACTCCAACGCAAGGGCTCGCTCATTCCCCTAAGTGGCAGCTGAGTGGCGACTATTGCATTCCTGACTGCGTCGCATTCCTTGTCTTTCATTTGCCTGTTTCGAGTTTCTTCCTTTTGCTATTTTTTCGTCTATCAAATTCCTGCCCTGCCTCGCTGCCCCGCTGGCTGTGAGAAAATTTACGATGCAGCCGCCTGACAGCAAAAGCTCGGAATGGGAAGCCGTCTAGCGGGGAAGTGAGGGGAGCGCAGGAACCACAGCTGCAGCGATGCTGCCATCCACAGGCCCACTGGCCTGCCGCTCTGCTTGGAGATGGCACAAGGCAAATGGAGCCTGTCACACGAATCCAATGAATTTTGAGACTCAATTCAACTGCATAAATCTAAGCGCTCCCCTGGGGATTGCTTCTGGTTGAATTCGTTTAGTTTTTAAGCGAAGGAGATACAAAATGAACAGGATTGATTGATTGATTGACTGCTTAGCGTCGCCGTGCTTAAAGCACGGACACGAACTGTGCCCATTCCATCTCTGGTAGTTCCACTTTGTTGCGTGGGATATTGCATACTTTTCAGCTCTGGCGTTTCACTAATTATGCAAAAGCCCCCCTCCCCCTGTTGGGGCTTGGCGGTTGGGCTTGGGGGCTGGGCTGCCACATTTGATGACATTCCATTTCGTGGGACTATCGCGCATAGTTTGCACATTACTCGAAGGTCTGTCGCTTCGGCACGCTGCCACTTTGCCACTTTGTGGCAACTTATAACCCTCTGCCACACTCTCTCTGGAATTTCAAGTGTTGCATTTTTGGATCCAGCCCCACTTGCCGTCCCGCCCCTCTCATTGCTTGACGAGTTTTCTTTGCATTTTCCTAGATTTTATTTTAACGGAGTGTAGATTCCAGATTATGAACTATCTTTGGGGTCAACGGTTGAGCCAAATAAATGTATCCTCCGTTGAGCATCATTTTTTGGTCTTCTAAAAGTCCTCCCCATGGAGCTTTCACTGTCTATTGAATACACAAATTATTTTGGCGCTTGGCTAAAATTCTGACAAATTGTTTAACTGACTTTCGCAACGCCCCCAAACCCCATACGTTCCCCTTCCATTCGCTTCGCTTGGGGTTGGGGTTGGGGTTGGGGCTGGGGATCGGATTCGAGTTCGAGTTTAGGACTGAAAACTTTTGATTAAACCGTTTTGGTTCTGCTCTTGTCACTCCATGCCCCCCACAATGGCCAACCCACACCATCACCGGTGGTTACGCTTGACAAACTTTACATAATTGCTGAAAACACCCCATCCGCTGTGGCACTTCGATGGCGTGCGGCACTTGGGGAGTGCCCATGTGGCATGTGGCATGTGGCATGTGGCACGAAACGGTTTTTGTACACACACGTAAGCAATGCCAAAGACAACAATCAGAGCGGTCAGGCTGTCTCCTTCTTCTACTCCTTTAAGGGCCGCAGTCAGCAATTAAAATTGATGCAAATTAGGGAAGGGCCACCGCATTGACCTTGACAAAAAAACCGCGACCACATCAGACATTAAACAATGCCAATCCCCATCCCCATCCCCATCATAATCCCCATCACAATACTCACTTCACGCTCTGTCTCGGGGTCGGCAAGCAGATCAATCTTGTTGCCCACAACCACAATGGGCACCGCTGTGGTGGCCTTCGTCTCATGGATCTGGTCGCGTATTCCGCGCACCTCCTCGAAAGTGCTGCTGTCGGTGACGTCGTACACCAGGATGAAGGCGTCCGCCGAGGATATCGAGAGAGCGCGCATCGCCGGGAACTGCAAAACAAAACAAGAGACACAAAGAGAAAAGAGAAAAGAGAGAAAGACAAAGTTAGGTGATTGCTGAGCGAGTATGCAAATTGTGAGTGCGGCTACACCGAAGCGGGGCAAAGCCATCAACAACAATTGTTTCCTCAATGATAATTTGCATATATTTATACTGTCACACACAAACACTCACGAGTCCTCTCAAATATGCTTCAAGCACATACATACATACATATGTGCACACATACATACTTATACATACACATATGTACGTACATATATATTTGAATAATCACGGATAATCATGTAAATTTCGTTTTCTATGCCCGTTAAACATTTTCACACTTTTCAGTGAGCAATTTTCCGCCTGGTAAATGTGCTACGTACTGAAATATGGCATGGCAAATAAAATAAAATGGAATGGAGTGGCAGAAGGTGGCAAACGAAAATTGAATTTCTCTTTTGTGCGAGCGGGTTTTAGCATAATTTTCTAATATTCCACTCTTAAAAACTTCCAAAGATGAGGTTCATTCGTAAGAAAAATGCAAAACTGAATTCATACCATGAATTTTCTTTCATCGGATGATATAGAGGAAGGATCATCTTTCATGCTAAATAAGATTATACATATGTACATTTTAGCAGTGGGAACCAGTGGTGAGTGGGGAATGGCAGCAGAATAGCATTCACAGCAGATCAACAGTAGAGAGGCGGAAAGGAGAGTAAAAGCAAAGACCAATGTTGACCGTAATGTCAGCAGCATCAGCATCGAATAAAGCAGTTTTATTTGGGGCTTTTGGTATATTTACAAGCAGTTCTCCTGCTACTGTGCTACTGCTTCACAGGTCAACCCGCAAGCAGTGCGATTGATTCATTGGCAATGGGAAGGAACATGATCTTTTGTCTCTCTGTTGCTGCCTCCTGCTTCGATTGCATTTGGGGTCGTTCTGGCGACACGCGTGCCTAATTCGTGATTCGTGTTCTTCCTATTGGCAATTACGTGCCATGCAGATGCACACCCAATGCCACAGACGTGCCGTGCATAAGCTCTTCTGCCTTCGGGAACTGCTTCCATTTTGCGGACCCAAATTCCCCGTAATTAATATTTGCAGAAAAGTGGCCTATGAATGCAAACGGTTGCGGGTTTGTCAAGGAATACACTCATGGCTGTCCGTGTGCCCTTTTGTTTAATTAACAGTCCTTGATGGCCGAACCAGGCCCCATATCTGACCTTGAACGGCCGGCAACTCTGCCACACTCGACGTCTCCCATGTCATTAGATGTTCACATTTGTGGCAGCCCAACCCAGAGACCAAAAACGAGGGAACACAACAACACGGACAAGCAAAGACAAACGGACGGACACAGACGGTCACAGACACGGACACGGACACGGACACGGATGTATGCAATTTGTGAATTGTGTACTTAAAGCAGAGCAGCGCAGAGTTGAGCAAATGGTTCAGCTTCCATTCAAAAATGGCATACAAAATGAATCATACCAAAATGGAAACGAATTAGCGCCACAAACGAGCAGAGAGGTACAGTCAGAGGTTCACTGGCATTCATCGCCTTCATCTCTGACTTGGGAGCTCCATTCTGCGGGCTCCACATTTCCCATTCCATTGTCTCGTTTGTCTGCCAGTCTGCCAGCCGAGAGGAACCGCAACCGCAGCATTTTGGCCAAAGCACTCCGCTCCGCTCCACTCCTTCCGAGCTGTGTACCTAACATAATGGCTTTCAAAATCATGCGCCCGCCAGTTCCGCAGGTTCCAAATTGAATACGCACCCAACTCGACGGGCAAAAGAGGCAGCTGTATAGTTAGAGAGATTTGGTGCCTCCATGGAGAGCGTGTAAATAAAAAGGCAGTCCACTGACCAGCTGAAAATTGAAAATCCCAATGAAAAAACTCTCACAAAAGCGCAAAAAATAACGACACAGCGCGGAGAGAAAAACAAGAGGAAAGGGCTCTACTCTCGACCACAATGCCCCAGCAAGTATCCTGCAGCTCAGATAACAGGGAGAGTGAGTTTGAGAGAGTCCATCCTTTTACCTCTACTCGAACCCCAAATCGAACTTGAAGAGGCACTTGGTAATCGTGTTGGCTACCGATTGAATGTCGCCATAAAACAATGAATTGAAATGTTTCAATATACACCTGAAAGGGGAGCTGGGAGAACACTTTTTTGCTTCGATATGTCTTGGAACGCACTGAAACGATAATCGATTTTGCGCTGGTTGTCCCTTTGCCTGCCTTCTGTCCAATACAAAATAAATAACAATTGTACTGCAGAATTTTTTGGAGCTTTTTTTGGTTTGAATACCTTTTGGAATACGCGAACAATCGAAACCTTTTGGTTTATTTCGAACCCCTTTCGGGGCAAAAGAAAAAATCTGCCCACACAAATGGGTTGTACTTGATTTTAATGTATATTATTTGAAGGCTTTAAAGTTGCAAAAAAGGCATTCCGAAGGGCCGAACACAGCAGCTGAAAAGTAAAGTAAAGCATTTGTGGCTTAAAGCAACATCCTCCAACTCATTTCCATGAGGGACTTGCCTTTGCTCTCCTTGCCTTTCCCTGACTTTTGCTTTCACTTCCACTTCCTGAATTTGCCAAGGAAGAGGCTTCCTTGCAGACAACACCAATGTTTTCATTTCATCAGAACGAGTTGGGAAATGTTTTTGCATGGGCTCGATGGCTGTTTGACTGCCGGCAGAACAGACAAATATATAGAGAGAGAGACAGATGAGCAGAGCAAAACATAACCCAGTAGAGTAGACTGAACTTGAGCTACCATTGCTATGAAGTTGCTCTTATTATTGTACATAACACGCTCAAGATGGGACTGCTCGGGCTTATCAATGGTGTAGGTGTTTTTTTCTTCCTTTTTTTTTGGGCATTCGTTTATTTTGTGCATTTGAGGGCCAGGCTGCGACATCCTTTTGCCATCCTCTCTGTCTGTGTGTGGTTTCCGCTTGTTTCACATGCGACAACCGAAGCACAACACCGCAATGATGCCATGCTGTTCCTGTCGTTGTCAGCTCAGCTCTGCTCACTCTCTCTCTCTATCTGCCTTCCATTCAATGGCAAGTCCTGGCATCCAACTCGTAAAAGCACCCTGCACCCTGCACCCTCGTCGTCCTCCCCATCCCAATCCCAATCCCAATCCCAATCATATGCTGGCTCTTGATTTCTCAATGGACTCCACAAATGGACTTGCCACTTGCCGGGCTGATTGTGTGACTTTTGTTTAGCATTTTCCTATGGCGCTTTCCAACGGGCGCAGTGACGCCCATTGAGCAGAGACATTGACTGCTGGCTCCCCTGGAATGCAGCCAAGGACATTTTGGTAAGTTGCAATGCAAAGCAAAATTCAATACCAAGAGCAGTTGGCATTTATTGGGAAGCACGAACCCAAAGGGTTTGCCAGGGGGAGTTCTCATAATGAAGTAATCCACTGTATGCAGACACTTCATCATCACATCTGACAGGTGTCCATTATTCCAAACACCTCAATATCATGCCAAGTTATGGAATGAAGTTTGCTCAACTTTAGTTGTGGATATTCATTCCCTTTTCCGCTGAAATACATTATCCTGCAGATAATAAAGTCTAACTACTTGGAAGTTTCTGCATTCCTGTTGTTGTCGTGTCCGTTCCTGCTGCCAGACTATTTCTTTTGATTGAATTTCGGACTTGTTTTGCATGTGGAAACGGATGCCACACCTTGCCAATTAGATCAGCATTCGGGGTACAAGACTTTGGTTGATTTGGCTTAAAACTAAAACGAAAACGAAAACTCAAACTCAAACTCAAACTACATTTGGACAAAACTTAGCTTGGCTTGAACTTTTACTAACTTCATTTACACGCAGACAATTGTTGCTCCTCCTCGTGTGTGCATCCCTTTGCTCTCGCTCTCCCTGTATGCCTGACCAGAACTTTGTGAAATTTTTGTTTCGAGCCAAGCCACGGACTGCTGAAGAGCAGCAGAGCGAACCCTTGTTACCACTTGAGAGCTTTATTGTTTCCGAATTGGAACACTTACAATCATAGATACGAGCATCTTATAGATAGTTCTTAGAGCTTAAAGCCCCTCCCTATGTATCCCACTTTTGCCATGCACTCACTGTTCATCCTTTCGCCATCATTATGTACCTCTCGACAATGTTTTAGTCTTGGTGGAGCTTGGTGGAGCATCTGTAGAGGGGGAAAACCCTTTCCATGTTTTTATTTTTCCATTTTTCCATTTTTCCATTATGTGTACAATGGCCAACTGTGTTTTGCTCTGGCAGCCATTAGATGCGCGCCATGCATGCCATTATGTCTATGGTTTGGCATCCTTTTCAGGAACCCTACCGGCAGCCCACAGAGTGCGTTGCGTGACCACAGAATTTACGTTATTGATTTGCAAGAAAAACGCAAAGAGCAAAAAGGTGTACAATCCAATTATGTGTCTGGAAAAGCGTTGCGGCATTTGAGTGGACACAAGGCTCGGCCGTTGCATTATGTGGGAAATATCATTAATTATTTGGGCTGAGCAAAAGGGCATGCACGAGTCGACTCTGTCAGTCTGCATGCAGTGCACGCGAGTCGACAGAGCCAGGTGCCGTGTCGTGGTGTGGCAAAGTGCAGAATATATTCATATAAAATATTTGTAAATTGGAATTTTTAAGCAAATACCATTTGCGGTGGGTAAACAACGAATTTTATGCCCTGCTCCGGTCGTAATTTCTGCGTAACAAATATTGATAGAGACGCCCGGGGCATGTGGCATGTGTGTGTGTGTGTGTGTGTGTATGTGTGGCCTGCGGTCTGTTATCTTTGGGCACACGCAGGCATATCACTCATACGTACACGGGAGAAAGAGAAGGACAAAGTGGGAGAGAGAGAGTCCTTAGCCGTCCGTCGGAGTGTCAACTATTTGGCCAGGCTGCGGTGCCGCTCCAGCCTCTGGGCCTGCCGAGTGTGCCTGTGTGTGTGTGTGTTTGCGGCAGTTTATGGACCTCCCCATGCTCCCACAGCCTTGACCGAACTATGAGTGGTACAGTGCGTTGCAAGAGTACAAGTCATCCCTTGATTTCATTAAGCATAAACCGTGGAACGGAAACTCGGAGACCAAAAAGAAGTACCGTGGCCTATGGCTCCGAAACGCACTGTGCACTAGTGATGCTTATGTTTTTGAGTGTTTGTTTGCCTTTGCCATTGCCGCAGTGTCGTTTATGGCTGCCACTTGGCACTTGGCTGCAAATGATTGCGCATACGCACCGTGCGCCACTGGGACTAATGCGAGGATAACAATGGACGGCAGAGCGAACAGAGAACAGAGAACAGAGAACAGCGAACAGCAGAAGGAGCTGCTTGGCCAATATTGTAAGAACTGCAATCCCAACTGGGAATGGGAAATCCACACGCTTTTGGAGCCACAATCAAGGCATCGGAGTACTCGTGGTTGTATATGTATCAGGATTATGTGACGGCAGAGTTGACCCAGTGCCTGCTGCTGCAGCACTCGCCTCTTAGGACCATTATTAACTACACATGTACAGAGTACAGTGTACAGTGTGTGCACATATGATGCGACGACCTGCCACTGGTCGATTTATGCTCGCAACCGCCAGCTGGGATAACTACTCCAGCTCCCAGCTCCCAGCGCCTCGATACTCTCTCTCTCTCTCTCTCTCTCTCTTGTGGCTTCTGCCGCTCTCCGAGGGATCGTAAAATTTATGAGCAATCCGTGAAAGTGTTCAAATTTATAACCTGTTTGTTGCTGCTAGTTGGGTTTGAAGAGTGACTTGGGGCAGGGCCCGGGCCCGGGCCATTGTCAAGTGCCTGTTTCGGTGTGGCCATGTGGCAGCTCATTTGAGGGCTGATTGGGTGAGGGATTTGCCCTATAAGGATTCCCATCCAGCAATCCCTGCAAAATCCATTTCATTAGTAGCAGCATTTCCAATTTCAGCTCCCATTTGGCAGTGAATCTTGCAACCATTCGTTCTTTGTGCCCATCCCCTGCCATGCCATTCCTCATACTCGAGGAGCTCGCTATCGCATGTGTTCGATGTGCCCATGCCCATGCCCATGCCCGTCCTGATGATTCCATTGTACAGCACATAAATCGGACGTAGAGCCGCGCCAAGGACACGCCTGTATGTGGGGGAATGGGACTGGTACTGGGACTGGGTCCAGAGTCACAGTTCACTTGGCTTTGGCTCCCAACTTGACTGCACTCGCTGCCTGACTGACTCCATTTGCACCCATCCATGTAGCCACCATGTAGCCATACTCGTATAGCCATATACTATAGAAACGGATACACGGCTACACGGATACACGGCTACACGGCTGCAGGGGGCCCCTCCATTCATATTGCTCAACATCTGTTGCCGTTCGTTCTTCATTCTTTCATTCACTCGCGTGTTTTTTATTTTTGTGTCAGCTTCTTCTCTTTTTTTGTTTGTATTTTCTTCCATGAACAACCATTTCGATTCGCGCCTGACGGAAGTGGCAGCGAAATTGAATCGCAGGCTGTAATTTCCGCTGCACAAAGGGCACGCAGCTGGATGATGTTGATGATGGTTGGAGATTGCGACGGCGAAGCTTCAAAGGCAGTTCCTGCACCGGGAACAGGACGAACACTGGCAGCAGCAGCAGCAGCAGCAGCAGCAGCAGCAGAAGGACCACCTGGGAAACTCTTTGAAATATTGAATATAAACTAAATGCTGCTGGCTGCCCTGTTGCAACCCATTAGAGGAGGTTATTTAAAATTAAAAGCACCGGACAAGCTCGAGGGGCCACCAGCCAGGAGGAGCAGCAACGGCAGGATAAACCTGCTACGAGCGAAGGGAGTCAGGGTGGCAGGAAACTTGCTCCCAATTTTTGATTCACTTAATGAACTGTTCTTGTTGTTGTTGGAGTGTGAGCGGTGTGGCACTTACCTCGTAGGAGCCAGCCGTGTCGAGAATGTCCAGGGTGAGGCTAACGCCGGCAATGGAGAAGTTTCCCTGATGCATCTCCTCGATGGTCCGCTTGTACTTTGGGCTGAATGTGTTGTATAGAAACTGTGTGATTATCGACGTTTTGCCCACCTTGGCGCTGCCCATGACGACGATCTTGTGGCGGGCATTGGCCGGTCCGATGGCATCGTCCACCGCATTGGTTCTGCCCACTCTGCATGGATATACAAAGGGGATATACGAATGGAATGGTTATAGCTATGGTTATGATTATTGTAATGGTTAATGGGTACAGTGTGGTGTGTGTGGTGCAGGCAGAAAGAAAAAAACGTGACTTGAGTGAGTTAAATTCAATTAAATTCAATTCATTTGCGTTTGCTGTTCAAATTGATTCATGATCTAATATCAATCCCCCCCATTCCTCTGGTATCCTTTCCTTTGCCTTGCCGTTGCCCCTCGCTTACCCTCTGTTCATTTCTTTATACCCGAGGGACGGACTTTATCCCCTGGGCGGCTCATTAAATCTGTGCGCTACATTTAAAATTAATCATTACGGCAACATCAGAAAGCGACGGCGACAGCGACAACTACACAACCACAGCCACAGCCAGAGCCACAGCGAAAGCAAAAAGCAAAAAGCAAACAAAGGACACCTTATGTAGTAGGATCCTACCCATTATATACAGTGTGTACATATGTAAAGGTGGCGCCTTTATGTATCGCTCTGCAGTAACTGCCGCTTCGTGTTTCGCGTGCAAATTAATTGGGAATCGAGGGAATTACATTACTCCGCCGCTTAAACAGTTTTCTACTTTAAAGTTCTCTCCCTTTCTGATCAAACAACATGCAACATGCAACATGGCTAAAACTATTAGTTGAATCGCAAGCGGGGAAGACTCTGGAAATGGATTGTCAAATCTGATATCGCGTCGGCTGGAAATGGCCCTTAATTACGAGAGACACCATCCAGAAGCGGGATCATATTTGATTTTAATAAGCGCTATTCTGTTGGCACTCTCCCTGCCAGAGAGAGAGAGAGAGAGAGAGTGAAAGGTTCTATAAACATGAGTCCTTTCCTTTCTCACCGCCGAAACTGGTTGGGGCGTAATATTGTAATCAAAGGCCCGAGTGTAACGAAGGAGGAAACGAAGAAACAAAAGCAGGAAAAACATGAAATTCTTGTCCTGACAGGCAAAACAAAGGGAAAAGTATGCAAACTAAAAGGAAACATGAGGGAAGGGCAGGGGAAAGGAGGCACACGATGTCCGGCCAGGAAATCAGGCGGGGGAGACTGACTGACTGCCTTGTCCGCCGCGACTGTTTCCCTTTTACGCTTTACCCGCATCCCGCATCCCGCATCCCGCATCCCGTGTCCCTTTTTCGCATTTCCCATTTCCCATGTACTTTTGGGTGTCTTCCATGTCGTTCTTTGAACTTGCGTTGAAGAAATGAAAATGTTTGCCCCTAAGAGAAACGCTAAGATTCTTTACATGTTTGCCGGGGCTGGCGGCTCCTACTGTATGCGGCGTAGGGTATTGAATTGGGTCTGGGCTGACAGTCGGCTCATCCTTTCTTGTACTCCACCTGGACCGAAAACCCCTCGACCCATTGTCCCACTCACAGGACAGAACTTTTTCCGCCGCCGCCCACTTGGAGTTTTCGGTCCCCCTTTGGAAATTCTTTTGCAATTATTGCGGACAGCGATTGAAGTTCGTCGTCGTCCCCACAACCGCACCACGCTCCCACCGAAGACATTGTGACACTTGGACTGGCCGTACGGCAGGGCAGCTGGTCCTGGTCCCAAGTCCCACGCCCGGACTATACTCGGTTGCAGCTGCGCGCTTCGCGGGGGAGCTCGCAAAATGTGAACTTGATGTAAACTTTTCCTCCTTTCCAATCGTCATTGGAACTGGAACGAGACCCTTAAAAGTATTTCTTCTTTGGCTGTGAAACTACTTAATTTATTGCACAATATTTTAATGAAATGTGTTGAACTATGAACGGAAATCGTTCGAGTTCTTCTGCGACCGTTCTCTTAATGAAAACAAAAACTTTCTAATGATTGCCTTTTGCTTTTGGTTTATTTGGGATACCCTTTTTGAAGGGCAGGCCAGCAAATCGCCAGAGAACTTTTCACGTGGAAACAAGATTTCGATTTCGATTCATTTGTTTTTGCTATTCGATATTTTGTTTTTACTCGAAATCTGGAGGAGTCTTCCCCTGCCTCTTCTGTGTGGAAAGTCAACTGGAAAATATAAGTTTTGGCATAGTTTTCCCACTCACTGAGCGCATGAAAATGTATATCTATATCTACTGATACAATGCTGACACTTATGCCATTTCGAAATTTTCAAGTTTTCTTTTTGTGGGGGGGGGTGTCTGGATGTGAGGCAAACTACGTGAATGGATTTTGCACGCTCGCTCACGTGTGGGTACATGTTTGCGTGTGTGTGTGTGTGTGTATGCATGTACGAGTATGTATTGTTGCAGATGCCTGCAGATTTATTTAGCCATAACTTACTTGTCACGCTTCGGCTTATCCTCGTTGTTGTCATCCTTCATGAAGGACGGCTGCAGGCTGAAGCGTCGACGCAAGTGACGGCCACGCATCCTGCTGCTGTCTCTGTCGCTGTTGATTTGGCGGTGGCTGTGGCTGTCGCTCTGACTGTCGACTGTGCCTCTGTATCTGTTGCTCTGTTGCTCTGCTGCTGGTTCCTCGGGCAGGCCGTAAATCAACGTCTCAACGACGACGTCGCCGACGTCTCTCACTCTCTCTCTCACACTCTTTCTGTTTGGTGTCCCTTTATGCTGGCTGTCGGCGTTTGCATAAACAGCAGGAACTTTGTTGTCGCTGCCTCTGCCTCTGCCGCTGCCGCTGCCGCTGCTGTACTCTCTCGTCTTACTATGCTTTACACTGCTTGCTTCTGTTCACACTCTGCTTCGCGGCCTGCTTTCCACTGCTCGGTTCGTTCTGCTTGCGACGCTACGTTTTATTATCAGCAGTAAGTGCAAGTGTATTTGTAGCCGTAACGGGCAATGGTTATGGCCACGTTAACGCGGTAGTTGGGCCTTAGTTTATTATTAGCCCCGTTAGCGCTTTCCTTCGCTCTCTCTCTCTCTCTCTCGGTCTTTACAATTGGTATGCAAATATTTGCCTGTTGCTGTTCGCCTTCTCCTTTGCGCTCTTCTTGCGTTTCGTTTTAATTACGTGACTCGATGATTATTTTCCTCGCCAATTTTCGTGTTTACCTGCAAATTGAAAATGTTTGGATGAGACAAAGCCATAAATTACAAATGTCCCACTCAAGCCCACCATGCTTATCCACCGTGGCAGCATTTGATTATTAAAATTAAAACGAAAACCATTTACTAAATAAAAGAGGCAACAAAAGCCATGTGCGAAGTTAATAAGCTACCCTTTAAAAACGAAGAAACAGGGGAAGAGATGTGGGAGATACAAACAGAAGCCACACCACGCCACTCCTTGCCTTTGGAACTGCTTTCATTACAGCTATATTGGTGAAAGCAGTTCTAGTTGCTGGCAATGCAGTGCACGCAACTGGATTAGTTTTCCAATTGGAGTATTTCAATCTACTGCTTCTGCTTCTGCTCGTTTAATCTACATATTTACTATTTCCTGTACATGGACCGACTGCACTGCTTCGTATGTATGCTGAACTTCTGTTAAGTTTGCCAGTGCTGGAGATAATTAAGCGGAATGAATTTTGCGGGTTTCCTGACCCACTTACATTTCATGAATTAAATGCAATTTCTTTACAGAGCTGCAACTGAACTTGTCCTTGTGGTGGCATTTCAATCGAATTAGTTCTTTAACATAAAGTTTTCAATAATTTTACCATTCTTTTCTGCTTGATTTAGTCTCCTGATGGACTCATTATCAGTCAGTAATTAAGCACTAAACCCAGCACTATTGTTGGGGATTGCTGGATCCAGCGATTTACTTCAAGAGAAACACAATCTGCCACACACGATGCAGATGCAGATGCAGATGCAGACACAGAGTCCTGGGACTCAACGCAAACAAACTTAGAAACACGAAACGCCTTTTCAGCAACAAAATAAATGCCTTGAAAAAGACGCATATAATTGTATCTGTGAACAATGTTTTACTCTGCTCTGGCCTGCTTCCATTCCGCCTCTGGCTGTCGTCTTTTGTGCTGTGGCACATTGAACTGTATTTAGCACAATGTGCAACAAGCAGCAGCAACGGCAAAAGCCAAAGCAAAAGCAAAAGCAAAATCAGCCAGTGAGAAGACGGAGCAGCAAAGGAAGGAAATCATTTGAAACCTTCTATAAATCTCATTCAGAGAATGGCTGATGCGGTGCCGAAATACCAGTCTGGAATCAACGCACAGCTCACTTCAGAGCTATTCAATTATAGGGCATGCTTTATGCATACTTTGTGGTCGACAAGTGGATAAACTCCATCACAGAAGACAGCAACAGGGACAGGAACAGGAACAGGGCTCGATAGAATGGAGCATAAAGTAAAGAGCGCCATGGATATGTTTCCTATAGCGAAATTTCGTATCTTTTACTGTTTCCAAATAAATTGTTAAAATTGTTGTACGATGGTAGATTGATCATTCAGTTTATTTTTGGCACTGGCAGAGCATTTGATATTCGCGTTTGTGGAACTTTCCCTTTCAGTTTTTCTCTCACATCGTGGAAGCCGGAAAAGCGCTTGGGCAAGCCAAACTTTTGCAGCTGTATGGGTGTACTGTGTGTGTGTGTGTGTGTGCACAGGAACTCTTAGGAAGAGTTGATCCGAACTGCCAGCGAAACTTGGGCAGCGGCTTAGGAGGGCCCTCCCAAAATTTGCTCAAGTTAAACGAGTTGCGGCATATTGACTGCAGTCAGCCGAATAAATGGATTAGCCCATGCTAGACCACCCTAGCAGGAAGCGTAGGGAGAGAGTGAGTCCTGCAGAGAAGAAGAAGGTAAGGTAGAAAAGAGAATTGCCTGCGGCTCTTCTTGTGCATTGTCTAGGGTCCTCAGCTTAGCTTTACGAGAACTGCTGCTGCGTCCTCTGGTTTCCTCAACGATGCCTCCGGCTCTGAGCTTTAGTTTTCTCTCTGCTCTAAATTAATTTATCAGCCTTTTGTTGGGGGGTCGCTCTTCATTCTGTGGCTTATTTTCTTTTTTTTTTGCCCTTGCTCTCGTGTTACCTCTATTCTGGCGCATCCCTGAAAAGTGCTCGACAAACAATGCTCCCCAGGCCAGAGTCAGAGTCAGAGCAAGAGCAAGAGCAAGAGTCAAGTTTGAAGCGATGGGAAAAAATTGTTACTTTTCAATGGCTCTTGAACAATTTGATTTGCATAAACTTTTGCGAAAGTCAACGAAATTGCCAATGCGATGTAGTGAATGAAGGGGTGGGAAAGAGGGGGGAAAGAGCGCCAGGGCCTGTCCTGGCTCCTGTAATGCCACTGCCAGAACGAATGGCCAGAACGTTTCTGCAGTTGCAAATGCGAAATATACATAGATCTTTAACGGACACCGATTATTATACGATTATTAATCAATAATGTAACAATTCAACAATAAAGTGAAAGACGGTGAAAATATTCACTTCTGGCAGCTCTGGGTCCCACTTGGAGGGTATAATTCATTCGAAACGAGGGATTTTTACTACTGTTGTCTCTTTTATCTCGCCATCCGTTCCATTTCTTGTATTATCTGGCACATTTTCCACTTTTCATTCGATGCAATTTATGAAAAACCAGAACGATGATAATAATAATAAATTATGGCAGGAGTGTGCGCGGCTCAGGGACAAAAACAGGGGAAGATCGTAAAACGAATTTCGAAATAAATAATCATGGAAACGTAGCAAACATTAAACGAGGCGAATCCAAATTAAATGAAACGAAACCCCAATGGAACAAATTATGGTTTTATTTCGGTAATTCCTGCTACGTAAAGGGTGTCAGCCGGGTATGCCCAACAATCTGTGGTGCAGAAAATATTGCTTCACTTTGATTTATTTGATTGCCTCACAGATGAAAATTATTAAAGAAGCGACAGGGACATATTGATGATGATCGCTCTATTTTTTTGTTAGTTTTTAATGCCTGATTCAGCGATGGGAGCCTGGAGTAGCGATAGCCAGCCGACAACCTACTCCGAATCCGATTAAAGGCTGTGAGCTGTGAGCTGTGTGCTTCGAGTTTAGTTTTGTTTTTTTTTTTCCTTTAACCGCTCGAGCTCTAAGGCCAACTGCAATTTGTGTGTTGTATGCGCCTGATGCCAGATTAGTCCCCGAACAGACCCCATTAAATCCGGCGCCCCAGCCAGCCACAACCCAAGGCGACTCGGAATTCGTTTGCGAGTGTGTGGGACTTGGATTGGGGTTGTGGCTGAGGTTCGTGCCCGGCCCTGAATACATTGGCTCATCTGGCACTCTGGTACTCTCTGGCAGTTGGGTGGAGGAGCTCCAGCTGGAGGAGCTGGAGGAGCTGGAGGGTAGAGGCAGGCATCCAAAGCATCCAACATTCAGCATCCACCATCCACCATCCAGTAACCAGCTTTCAACCAGGTGCAGCACTAAAATTGAAAGGCATAAATACTTATGTACAAACATAAAGCTCCCCCTCACCAACCCATATATTCATGGGTTTTCTATGAACAGGCGGATAGGTGGGTGGATAGGTGGATAGGTGGGTGGGTTTGCCGGGGTGCATTAAGGCTTGAGATGCTCTTCAAAAGAGCCACAAATGTTGCAAGCATTTCCCTGCACCACCGCCCACATCTCCGTCTTCTTGTCCGCCTCTTCCTTTTTGCTTTTGTCGCTTGCCAGAGTTCGCGTGCCTTATAATTGGGTGGGCGGTGAGTGGGCTGTCTGGATTTCAGAGTAGAATATTTTACAATTACATTGCAGAGAGCACTCCCCCGCCGTGTCCAACAAAATGGAGCTGCCACAATTGATTTCCTGGAACGAAAACTATGAAAAAAGTAACCCAACAATGCACAACAAGAATTAAGTTGGAAAATCGCTGCACCCAACCCCTGCAAAGCAAATGGAAATTGAGTGCCTTTGATGGACTCACTGCAACTAAAGTTGTCCAAACAGCCAACAGCCCCCCCCCAATGACCGAAAAATAGGAAGCTCTTTGCACTCTTTGGGACACTCTTTTATGGGATTTTCAGAACATGGAATGGTGCAACAATGATTTAGGAAATACAAATCCATCAATGAATTCTCTGGAAAGAGAAATGAAACAGGAGCTTCTTTGATGGATTCAATGGTTAGAATTTTAGTAAGAATCCCTGTGAGAACTGAGAGCTCTTTGTGGAGGTTTTGTTGCTGAAATAAGTCAGAAATCTACAAAAGATTGCCAATATAATTTTTCCATTAATGTGCTTTAAAAATTAAACAACAATGCATCGAAAAATGGAGATTGTTGTGGCTAGTAACCACGGGTAGGACCTTTCCCAGGACCTCAGACCTCAGAGTTAAGTAGCTTTTTGAGGGACTCTCTGCATTTGGAATTGCATAAATTAGTTCCCTATTCATGGCCGAATGCAGCTGCTTCGATGTGAGCCAATGAAAATGAAAATAATTCGACGAAATTTGCAAAATTTCAAGAATCCAAAGCGGATGGGACGAGGACGGGCTGATTGTACTGGGGCCAGGGGAGTGGCAGTTGGACGAATGCGCGTCCGAGGAACAAAAGGAGGCAGCAATTGATAGAGCAACAGGCAGAGAGCGAGCAGCAAGCAGCAAGCAGCACGCAGCGGCAAGGGGCAAGAAGCAAGGAGCAAGGAGCAAGGCGAAGAAGAACAAACAAGAGATAAACATCAAAATTCCTTTGGGGCAGCAACTGAAATCTCCCCTTTTTCC